TAAGCAATGTTTTCAGATGTTGCTTCTGCGGCTGTGATGTTTCGAATTTTTAACATTGCTGTGCTGTTATTTACAGTGCATTTGATGGGTGGCCGTAGAATTGCGAGCTTTCAAAAATGAACACCACGTTACCTTTGGAATTTTTTCTTGAACAACAGTGCGAACTCTTTTAGACACACTGGTATGGGCGCGCAGAATTTTCTCATTGTCTTCAATGCACTCAGCAAAAGTAACTGAGGAATTAAAATAAGCTAGTTACTCAAACCCAAGCCCATAATTATATTGGAAAGTTCAACCTGTCTATGACGAAAAATAGAATCATTACCCGGATATGAAGAAAGCACTGTTTCGTTTACATTTGTTCTTTTTTACTGTCTTTCTCGGCTTTTTGTTTGCTTTTCCTTTTTGATTATGACTTGATGTTTCTTTTCTTACGTTAACAAACATTTCTCAACGACAACTCTCGAGAGACACTCGAAAGCGATTAGTTTTGCAACATCAAAAAGAAAGAAACAAAGAAAAAACAATCTACCTCAAAAATGTTAAAAAGTCCTTTATAACTACACGGTATTAGCTAATTTGGACTTAGAAAGAGGGAAAAAATCTAAAATAAACTGATTCTCCAAATGTAAAAGTCTCCTCACCACTATCTGAACCGAGTTGGTTCCTATTGAGAACAACATCTACTTGGCGCAGTTTACGAAGCGTGTGAAAAACCCTACTATGGTCCTTATTCCATGGGTACCTTAGTACCACCCACTTTGTTGGATCCTCCCAGCTGACACATCGATCAAAATTCTGTTGATCGAAGCAAAAAAATTTAGTATTATATTGTATAAAAGGTTGTGGTTACTCTTACTGAGTATACTAGTAATGAGGTTTGATCGCTTGTCTCAGAGTAGCTACTTCGTGTGGAATGCTTACTGCTTGACTTCTGCAGGCGATGGGCTGGACTGTTTGCGCGCAACTTGCTTTTCAAATGTTTTGATTGGTGCATTTCGAAAACTCCTCAGCGATCCGCTGTCATACGGCTTTCCTGATCGTGGGCATCCATGTTTTTGGAATGTCTTAA